ATTCCAAGTAAACGGTAAGCGGCCAAGGAATTATAACGTGCAACCGCGACTGGTGGGAGGGGGTGTGGGGGAGAAGTAATTTGCCTCAAAAGAGTCCAACAGTCCTTTCTGAACCAAAGTTTGGACCCCCCAATCAAAAATTCCTGGATCCGCCTTTGAAGACCATGACGACATCATCACTTGACAGCTTTATTGCTTCAATATCAAATATTTTAAGAAGATAAATGCCTTTAGAGAAAATATCAAATACAATATCTTGAACTTAAAGTTTTCATATGTAATGCCACATTACTATACAGTTACTGCACTAGATCTGCCTTTTCTTTTTAACTTCTTGTCTATACAAAACCTGATACAAAACATACAAGCACTAACAACATTTAGAAAGATGGGGAAGCAAAACATATTTTATTTAGTTACCTTCTAATAAACATTTTTGTTCATCCTTTCTATTTATTTTGAAGGGAATGCATCTCCCTTTGTTTAAATAATAATCTACTTTTGTTTAAAGACTAGTTTTATCTATAACTGTAATCTAACAATAATAACACTTGTTGATTTGATATGTCATGTTAAGGTGGCTGAACACAGTTTTTGATACCTTTGTTTCTTTCACCATTTTCTCTAAAACCCTTGATCTCTTGGTCGCCAAAACTGGCAGCAAGCAAGTTAACAACATAAACTTTGTTTTTTCGATAGTTAAGGTGACATATGTGCCGTTTTCATGGCGACAGGAATACATATAAATAGGCAATTAAAATCGGTTTTGTTACTTTGTAGAAAATCTAGTCATTAGATTTTCTTTACAATTTCCATGCAAGGAGATTGTAATGATACTCACAAGTTAACAGCATTTTGCTAACAATTTAACAGAGAGGTCTTTGATTATACCTTGTTGAAGGTTCACTCGATTTTCTAAAATTTCCTTTGTTTAAAATCAATTTTTTCGATACTCCAGTTACTTATTTCCTAAAGTATTCATGTGCCAAATTTCGTGAAATACTAATGAGTGGTTCTCAAGAAATAGGCATATTTCCGAGAAAGCAATTTTGACTTACTACGCATGCACTACATTTAACCGGTTTCTTTCGGTAACGATGAAAAAGTTGAGAATTGCTGGGTTCTTTGCACCATTAACTTTTCTAACATATCTTTGTAATAAAAGATTAAAGCCCTCAATGCACTGCGCCAACTATAGAGAAAAATAGCACAGATAGTGCAGGTATGTGTTGAGTAAATAAAATGACTGCTGTGTTGACGGCATGTTTGTTTTTCACAATCCACCTGCATGCGCTGAATTGCATCAGCAAAAATGCACGCGAAAACTGTGTTCAGCCACTTAATCATTCAGGTTTTATTAACAATAAAGCTCTACAATTATAGTAAATAATCATTTACAATTTCAGTTGTCAATAAAATACCAGAAACATAATTAGTGCAACTTGACCTGCAGAGTAAATGAAGCTAAACATATTTAAAAAGCTTTACAAGACTTGGATATTACAAAATGAATGTTTTCAGAAATTGAAAGTAAACAATTAATTTGTGTTGATTTAGTATTTTATTTCATGGCTCCTTTTCTAGCAAGCTCATCCGCAGCTTCATTTCCTATGTTCCCTTGGTGTCCTCGAACATGAGTCTATGACAAACACACAAAGAGGAAAGCAAAATGAAAGTCTTCCAAGATGATTAATAAGCAATTATTGGATGAAGTTACAAAATTGTTGTCTATGTATAGCAGATCAAATGATTGAATGTTGTGCTTGCCGGTGATGGATAATTATATTTTGTGATAACAGAGTTTGATAATTGTTTCATCATAACATTTTCAAGTTTATTTTTTGTATTTATTTTCAAGAGCTTCTCTCTGATAATATTATTCCATGTAGCTACACAAATTTTAGTTTTGCGCAAGAGAGCAGAAACAAAACAGTCATGCATGAGCAGAATATCATTTGCAACTAAACACAGTTCAAAAAGGAAATTAAAAAAAAAAAAAAGAGTCTTTTAATAGGATTACACATATACTGGTGAACCAGTAGTTTCCATTGTGGTCCTTGCAAACAAATGAAACAAATGGTCTAAATTGAACATAACATCATTAAAAACATCATTAAGAACATCATTATGAACCCCAACCGGCCGGAGGCAAACCAGTTGGCTATTTACAAGCGTGGCCAAGGATCTGAACTCGGGGCTACCGTGAAACAAATCCAGTGGTCAGGGTGGGACTCGAACCCGGGAGTGGCAGATTATTAGTCCGACACTCTAACCACTCAGCCACAATGCCTCCTTTTGGAGGACAGTAGGTGGACAGTACATAATGGACATGAGCACACCACTCTTTTGGGTTGTTATTTGGCAGTTGAGTGGTGGGCTCTTAGAAAATGAGATGGATTAAAAGGGGCATAATTGTAATTAAATTGAAAACTTGCTGCATGTACATTGGTAATCTTGGTAAGATAGATTAGAATGTTACCAGGATCAGATCTAGCCTGCAGTGCAGGCAGTTTTGGTGGTTTTCATCTTTCGAGTGTTTAGCCGCCATGTTGGATTCGTTGCAGACCGGGAGAATTGGGGCGAGAATGCCAGAGTGGGTAGGGGGATGGGGAAGATTTTTCTTTCCCCTCCCCCTTCCCCAATTTTTCTCTCCCCCTCCCACTAGCTGGGTAAACTTTTTACCTCACCCCAACTCTCCACTGTTTTTCTAATTCAAGATGGCAGTCTGAACAACCGATGGGAATATCCCCTTGCCCCGCCAAAATCCGCCTGCACTGCAGGCTAGATCAGATCTAGAAAACATACCCACTTGACATCAATTTCATCACACAGTTTGGTCAGTTTCTGAAATTCAACCTTATTCTTCACGTCAGTTCCATTGATAGTTTTCCAGCCATTTTTCTTCCATCTTCTACACCAGTCTGTGGCTCCTGAAAATAAAAAAAACAAATAGATGCCACGAAACAAAAAAACAAAACAAAAACAAACAAAAAAAAAAATATATATATATATATATATAATTATATATATATAAAACAAAGACTTTCAACTCTCAACCCCCTTACATTAGAAAAAGGTTTGCATATTTTCCCTACTGTTCTATATGCATTTGGTGTGGCACTAACAAGGAGAATCTGTTTAACAATCCAAAGCCTCTTAAGTTGCTGATCACTTCCTTTATTCTCATGACCTTATTGTTTGATCCAGGGTGATATACTAAAAGGAGAGTTCAGACGTTGGTCACTCACTGTAAAGGTCAAAAGGGTTTACAGAAAACTAATACTAAAATTTCATTTATTAGCAGCAGTAATTTGCTGCAGTAAATCAGTTAGATTAATAAATATTAAAAACTCTATTGCACAGTTCATGATTCATTAAAATTTGCGGTAAAATTCAAATCATAAACATTAAGATCAAAGATTCTTCACCAGCAGAACTTCTTCTTACAGTGTACTACAATATTTAGGAAGAAATTGTCCACATTATCCAGCTAGGATGTGACAAGAATAAGCAATCTAGATTGTAACCTAGGGTCCATTTCTCGAAAGTCCCTGTAACTCAATGGGCCTGAAACCAAATTTAAAGGATAGGAAAGCAGGTTCTAGCACCCATACCAGTCCGTTTTGTCTCTTTAGCTGGTATTTTTATTGTATCATTTTCAAAACTTTTGAAATCCCCATCTTGAATGAAAACAGAACAGCTTGCAGGCCTGCTAAGTTACTGGGACTTTCAAGAAACAGGCACCTGGATAGATCATTAATTTCTCCCACCTTTAATAGTATAATTGCTATCTGTCCTGATCTCAAGTGTTTTGTATCCCATTTCCTTGGCTGTTTCAAGAGCCTTGACAGCAGCCTGTTAAAGTTCAAATTACGAATTGATACTTACAGGTGGGAATTTTTCAAATCACCCCTCTCAAAACTAGCGACTGAAATTCTCAACACAACATTGTAACAGAAAATGAAGACAGTGATGATAGGCCTGTTATTTCTTTCTTTGCAACATTAACTACTGATAGCAAACCAAAAACTAGCAACCAGTAAATCTTTAAAACAAAATACATAACAAAGCTTTCTTTAGTTAGTAATGTGAAAGCCATTTATAGCATAAAAACTGTTCAGGTTGTTAAAAAAAACAAAACAAAAGAAAAAAAAGAAACAAGAAAACTCCAAAACAGGGTCAGTGAAATAAGCAATAAATTCCATCTAAATTCTTTTATCATCTTTTTATCATCTGGTTTATATAGACTGATTTTCATGATGTTGTTTGCTTAACACCCTAACATCAGTATGCATATTCTCTATATTGTTCCCCATGCATTTCTAATGCACTGACAAGGAGAATTTGTTTAACAATCAAGAGCTTTTTCTAATTGGTGATCATTTCCATTATTCTCATGACCTTAATGTTTGATTCAGGAGCAAAATTGTTGGGAGAAATTAGATACTAGTCTCTCTCAGGGGTTAATGTCTGATTCAGGCCTGACACTGAACACTGTAAGGAGAAATTAGATACTAGTCTCTCTTAGGGGTTAATGTCTGATTCAGGCCTGACACTGAACACTGTAAGGAGAAATTAGATACTATTCTCTCTTAGGGGTTAATGTCTGATTCAGGCCTGACACTGAACACTGTAAGGAGAAATTAGATCCTAGTCTCTCTTAGGGGTTAATGTCTGATTCAGGCCTGACACTGAACACTGTAAGGAGAAATTAGATACTATTCTCTCTTAGGGGTTAATGTCTGATTCAGGCCTGACACTGAACACTGTAAGGAGAAATTAGATACTAGTCTCTCTTAGGGGTTAATGTCTGATTCAGGCCTGACACTGAACACTGTAAGGAGAAATTAGATACTATTCTCTCTTAGGGGTTAATGTCTGATTCAAGCCTGAGACTGAACACTGTAAGGAGAAATTAAATGCTAGTCACCCTAAGAAGTCGAATGACTAAAATGTGAAGAAGTAGTAAGAAGTCAGTAAATGTCAGAGTTCTCACCATTATTTCTGCTCTTTGGTTAGTTTGTTCTCCTTCTAGTCTCTCACTTACATTTCTTTGAAGAAGACAAAAAAAAAGAACAACTGACAAGTTCTTAAACTGATCAAGCTGTTTAAGCAAACTAAAACTTAATAAGAAAACCACTTGTTTGTAAAACTATTCAAGTCCCTTGGACATACAGTCTCTAGCTAGAGACCAATGTCTTCTTTTTTTAAAAAAAATTCATTTTGATTGACTTATGCCTCAATTACTGGAAATAGAAACCAAAAAATGTTATGGTTTATGACAAGCAGGAAAAAAAAATTAATGATACCTGGTATTTTCTGGGCCCCAGTAAACACCAATGCCTGCTCTCGCACCCTTGTGTCCATTCTTTGTGCAGCCGCCATCAGTATATACCACAGGTACATCTCCTAAAGAGGAGGCCTCATTACTTAAGGATGATATTAAAGATGAAGAACTGGTCCAGGTTGAGCTTGTTCCTGAGTTTTTAAAAGGTTTAGAGTACTTAACGCCTCTTGGGTTAAAGGAGCTACCATTGTCAAAATGTTTGTTGCCACACATCTCGTAGGAAGTTCTCTTTCTGCTTTTCTGCTGACAAGCCAAACATTTTGCAGTGAGTATCTTAAAGTACATGGCCTCAGGTGTCCTTCGGGGTACTGTGGGAGTAAAGTGTGTTTCAAAACACATCAAAATGACCCAACTTTGGCTTTACTCTAAATCTGTCAGTTTAACCCTTTCCACCTTAACATCAGTATGCATCTTCTCCTTACTGTTCTCTATACATTCTCTATGGTACTTATAAGGAGAATTTATTGAAAAATAAAAAAAAAAAATATATATATATATATATAGATGTCAATTGAAGCTCCCCCATAGAAGCTTTTCAGCCGCAATGTAGACTAAGTGCTTGAAAATCCCCACTGGCAGAAGGCAGACCAGAGGGCTATTTACAGAGTTGAACTAAGGGCAACCAAGAACAAATCCAGTGAAAGGCAGGGTGGAGGACTTGAACCCAGGACACCAGATTACAAGTCCAGTCCCCTAACCACTCACTCACACTACCTCCTACCAATCAAGACCAAATTGAGTTAGGATCATTTTCTTATTTCTTGCTACCTCAATGTTTCATTCAGGGATGATACTGTTGGGAGAAATAAGATATTTATCATTCTTAGTGTTAAAGGGTTAAGGGTTAAGGTCCAGTCAGCTAGTCACCAGGCTTCTGTCTCCCACATAATCCTCACATACAATACAATGCAACCATATGCGACCTCTCACGGGAAAACGTTCCGAACAGTTAGCCGTTTTTAAACGGATAGCCGTTCACCAGCCGTTCAACTGTATTGGCATGCTGTTTGAATGCCTCAAGCTATCCATTCTTGAATATTCATCATCTGTTCAAACCATTCGAGCTATCCATTTAAGAAACTTCATCATCCGTTCGAACACCTCTAGCTATCCGTTCTTGAATATTCATAATCCATTCAAACGCCTCCAGCTATCCGTTCTTCAATATTCACTGTCCGTTCAAACGGTTCGAGCTATCTGTTCGAGAAAATTCATCAGCCGTTCACTTGGCACTTTGGCAACGATGGTAGAAACATTTTCGGTGTGATCGCAATTCATATCTTCTCTCGTTGAATTCTCCATTTTGTGATTGTGTGAAATGGTGGTACTTGACACAAGTTGTCTGCAGTTACCAAGGCAACACATTTTTGATGGAGTGACAGGGAAGCTGGGATTATGGAAATTTAAACCCGAATTGAGGTTGAGAACTATGCTTTCCACGTGTAAGTTCCTTGGTTGTACCTTATCTTAATCGGTCGAATTCAATAATAAAAATATTAATTATAATCCATTTGAATGCGCTGAAAGCGAAGTCGAGTTATTCAAACGATTGAGTTTTGACTCGTTTCAAGTTTCTTTTCACAGATTGTGTCAAATACCTCGCGTTAATTAACACCGCCTCACCCGACGCATGACGCTTTCATGAAATAATCCTTCGCTTTGGCTCAAGATGAGAGCTTGGGACGCCTGTGTCAGCATTCGTTTTGACGAAACCATCTGTTCAAATAATTTCTACAGGCGATCACTTGTTCGACTGCTTAGCCGTTTATCCATTCGATCTCATCTGTGAGGCTCATCTCAGTGTTCGAAAAATTAGCTGTTCATCCCTTCGATAATTTTCATCAGCCATTCATCCATTCAACCTAATCTGTTCGAAAATTTTAATTAGCCATTCATCCATTCGAAAATTTTAATTAGCCGTTCATCCGTTCGACCTCGTCCGTTCGAAAATTTTAATTAGCCGTTCATCCATTCACAGTATCCATTTCGAACGGCTTTCCCAGCCGTTCATCACCCCTTCGCTTGCCGTTCCGTTCACTGTTCAAACGGCTACCATTAGGAACGTTTTCGCGTGAGAGGTCACATATTAGACCATACCATGATCTCTTTTTAAACCAACCATAATCTCATTTTGTCATTGATTAATTTATCAATACCTACGTGTGGAGCTGCTTTAGCTGGAAGAAAAGACCCACTGGACTCAAGTCCTGAAACAAAACTCTTGGCCTCATCCTCTGTAGAGAACTTCTTATATCTAGCACCAGGAAAGCCTTTGACATAACTCTCACATTCCGTCCTGATATTACAGAAATATTGATCAGAACCTTGCCAGGAAAGATTCTTACAATGCTGGAACTCAATGGAGTGGTATTTTAATCAGTCTAGAGACATTTCAATTCTTCTGTTCTGGCTGGAGATCTTTAGATTATGACAATCATTACCAGCCACCCATTCATTAAAAGTTTTCCTTTTTCCATTGATAGTAACTCTCCCTGGCAAATTCCACACTGCCCCATACTACATTATACATACAGTTATAGGATAAAGAAAACAGTGGCAAAAGTAATAGAGGGCCTTTGGCACTACAGGTTTGTTTTAGGAAAACCTCTTCGTTCCCCTAATGTTGGTTAGGTGGGGTAACAAGTTTGTCAATAAGTAATTGATGTAATATGGGCGGATAGGACCAATCTTGAGGTTGAAATGACAACACCGGAATGGGGTGAGAGTCAGGTCGAAGGCCTAGTATAGTTTTAACTGTTTTAAGAGTAAACCTATTAAAGCATTAAAGCAAGGCAAACAGAGTGGAGGGGACGTGATCTGTCACCCTCCAGTACAGGTTGTTGAAAGAGACAACACGTGGGGTGAATCTCATCCATTTTCTTTGACCAAAATTTGGCTTAATTGCTTGAAAACTACCACTTATCTAAACTTCAGAATACCCTGCCACATCATTTCCATGTCATTGAATAAGAATAGCGTCTATTGTGTTATACCTCATTCTTCAAAGCCTCCCGACATATGTAAATGATGTGGACGGGTATTCTGAAGTTGCTCCTCTATTTCTGTAAAAATGAGGCACGATATTCAAGCCACGAGAACTAATAAGTCGAGGAAAAATGGGATTTTTTATCAAACCCTCGATCAAAATTTATATCACGCTTAATTTAAAAGTTTGCACCTTTCGATTTACGAATTTTGAGATAAAAAAAAAGACCGTCATACCAAGTTCGAAATACACCGGTCTTCCTTCCAGTCCGTACGGCATAGAAGCCACACTTTCCTTCCATTGTCAAGGCATTAAAATTTCTCTGCAATCTCGCTAGCATGAATTGCAGAACTCGAATAGATCAGTTGTTCAAAATGGCGCCAATGAAAGCTGGGTAGCCAATCATTGGAATCCAGACTCTATCAGCCAGAAGGTAATGCCTGACGAGTGTGACAGGGTAACGCTTCAGATATCATAGCTCCAAGTAATGCTTAGCTCGATAGTCTCGAGTTGACGATAGAAATAACAACCTTGGGAGTATAACTGAGGCATATGGTTATATGGTACCGTTTTCAATTGCGATCGTTAAGTAAACATCTTTGTCAGGAACTAGTCATTCAAAGCTTTCTCGAGTCAACAAAGATTTATTGCTTTGCTTTTGAAACGGTTGCGGATCGAAAGCATGTGTTAAAAATTGCTCAGTAACCTAGAGAGAGAGAGAGACAAGGCATGACTAAGAATATGAAGATTTGCGCTTTTATGGTTGGCAATCCAAAGGGTAAGAATGAAATATTGAAAGTTATTGTTGTGAAACAATAGATGCATCATGTCTCAATATTTATAACTTAATAGCTTCATTGTTTAAACCGGAGTGAGATTCCTGGTGGCCTGTAATTTTCCATTATGGCTCTCCACTTCTCAGATGGTGTTTCAAGAAACGTTTTTTTCCCTTGGAAATTGATGGAGAATTTTAGAAACAGCCAAGATCCAAACACTTGATAGACAGAAAATCCTGTGCATCAAACATCAGTTAAACTACTTACGGGACTGAAACGCGTTTTGTTTTCTATTGGTCCTCTAGTTGCTCTTTTAGTAGCGGCATTTTTCTGTAATTTGGTAATATCACATTGTCATTGCACGAATTGAGTCACCAATGCTGAGTACGTTGACTTTTAAATTGTAACATTTCATTGTGAATTACTACGTATCTTAGCTGAGCACCAAGTTCTCTGCTAAAGGAGCGCAGAACTACTAGGATATCCAACATAATAGAACTGCAGTTAGACAATTCAAATAGTACAAGATAAAACCTTTCGATATTTTTTTAGTGTGAGGAAACGAAGAAAGAACATTCAAAAACGTTAAGTCGCGCAGGAAGTACTGAATCGTTGAATGTTGTCCTTCAGTAGTATCTTAGATAATTCAACTGAAAAAAAAATTCAAATGAGGCTTTAAACTTCAGTAAAATTAATGTTAAAATAATTAAAAATCCAAGCTTTCGCCGATCCACGGCATCATATTTCAACATCAATTTTACACCTGAACTTTTGTTACGGTTTTATTATCTCGTGGGAAGTGTTAAAACGTTGTAATTTCTTTTGTTTAAGGTATGGCACGGTTTAGTTTACGAATTTGCTAGTTTACTTTTTTTTTTCCTAGTTCACTTCTTATTATTTAGCCAGGATAGGAACTTCCTATCTTTAATTGGCACGTCCGTCAGATTTAGGATTTCTAGGCCGACTTCCTTTTGACATTGTTTCATCCTTCACATGGGTCCTTTTTTTTCAAAATGTGGCTACTGTTCAAAGGACACTTGCAAATTTTGAGAGTTTTATGAGTTTTAAGCATTCTGGTGTTGACAGTCTTTACACGGCCGGCTTTATCGACAGCTCATTGTGCCTGTGAAGTGTTCATCAATAATTGATCAATGGATGAATTACCTGTTGTAACATTATCTTGTAAATTTGTGTGTTTCAAGTGTGTGTTACGCTCCTGATACTCGCTGTCTAAGGAATTGTACCGTTACCCACTGTCTACAATGTTAAGTAATGAATGGTAACTGAGTTCCGTCGATATTTCAAGTCGGTGCATGCAAAATCACCAGAAAACGTGTTTCAGCAGAAGTAAGTTATAATCATTTTGTAGCTAAATTTACAAAATTACTTTTATCCGTGTCATGCGTCAGCATAAATTGTTTTGAAACTGAAAATTTTGGGGTGATATTTAAAAAAAAAGATTTTTGGAGTCTCATCTTCGTGAAAAGGCTTTTTTCGCTCTTTAAGAGTTAACGAACCGCCTCCCGGTTAGCTCAATGGATAGAGCGCTGGACTGTTGTGCGGGAGGTCGAGGGTTTGAGCCCCGGCCGGACCAACACTCAGGGTCTTAAAATAATTGAGAAGAATTTGCTACCTTTCTATAACATCAGGAAATGGTTTAGATATTCTAGTCTTCTCGGATAGGGACGAATAAATGGAGGTCCTATCTCCTGCAGGGTTAGGGGCAGGAGACTTTAATTTCCCACGCACGAGATTACTGTGTGATGGATGTCCTCCCCTGGGGTGGGACGGGTGGGAGGGTGGACTAGCACGAGTGGTTCCTATGTTCCTTTCTAGTCCCTCCCCACTGCAAAACTTAATGCAGTGAAAATGGACTAAATAAATTAAACAAGCGCAAATCTTTTATGCGCGCTGTCTTACTTTTTTGTTTAAACAAAGACACAGAGTGCAGATTATTTTGGTCAGTAATTTATTTATGAGGAAATTAGGAAATTACCGAAACGTAAAATGCTATCACAAGTTTCTCGCTGATGACAAAAAGCGTTTTAAAAATCGGATGAAAGAGCCTTTTCAGCACTTGAAACACAAATTGAGTGCGAATTCAGGCGCGACACATCAATGAATATTGATAATGACTGGTGAAGCTATTAGATTTTGCAGTAAATCAATATTTGCACAGGTGAATTTGTTGCACAGAATATAGAAAAGATATCTATCGAAAATTACCGCGAGACAATGGCTGAAGTTGCTGAGAAGCAAGCAAAACTCCTTCAAATATCGTCGTTTTGATTTTGATTCGAGATTAGATTCGATTGCATTTTGTAACACTCACGATCAATTCATCATTTCACATCGTGCTGTACTTTTAAGAAGATTTTCAGGAGTTATATTGATCGGCTAGGCCATGATTTTCAGTGTAATGGCCACCAAAAGACATGCTCCTCGCTACCGGCCGAGAAAAAAAAATGACCTATAATAGAACTAATAACAAACCACATTCAACGTTCAGCGTTATGAAGTGCTCACAACATCACCAAATGCGAACTCTTGCGTCTGTAAGCATCATTTAGTGGCGGAAGAGTTCTCGCACACAAACATGTTTAATCAGTAAAGAAGATAAGATTACGGTATTTTTCACTTTTCCTATCTTACGATGCTTCTCTCCTGGAGTCAAATTACTCATAGTGTAGACCTCCTTTTGCAATTAAGACAATTAGAAAGGTTTTCCTTTTAACTACTTGTAATGATGAGCAAAATGACATTTCCGAAGTCTTGGCAACGCTCACACAAATTGCTTAGTAACAAAGGTAGACTAGAAGTAGGAAGTCGAAACATCCCGATTTATATCGGAAGTGACTACATCGTTAGACAAAAAATTTTTTAACTGTTATCGGTTTCTACCATGGTGAATAACCACATCCCTTTTCACAATATCAGATCAACAAGGGCTGAGTTTCCTTCACCGCCAGTTTTCGCTCTTAAGAATTCTGTTAGTTTGTTATCACAGTGATATTTCCGCTGTTGGCATATTGGTGCGAAAGTTCTCCATGCATTCTTTGGAGGATTTTTGGAAGACTTTGCCATTATCAATCGCATGAAGATATTTTTATGAATGTCTAATATGGGGATGGTTTTCATGTTCATTAAACGAATTTGGCCGAGTAGCTTCGTTTTGTTTTTAATCTTGTTTTGCCTGATTTCTTTTTTGATGAAAAAGATCCTCGAACTAAATTATTATTTAACAAGATTTTTCGAAATCATCATGAGTCGCGTTGCCAAACAAATTGAAGCAATGTGTGAAAAATGCAGATAATGATATTGACAAAAAAGTACAACTTGAGCAATGAACAGGACGAGGGTAAATGAAAAAAAAAATGTACGTTGAGTTTGCACGATCGATCATGATAACTTACATGCTGAAATTAAGAATAGAGGATAATGAATTGTACGAAATTCGCCTACTTGTGTTAATTAGATTCAATACCTCCCTTTTGCAAACATGACGTTTTCGAAAGCTGTTTTCCTTCTCGAAAATTCATTTGTTACGAGATTCTAATTATGTTAATTTGCATAGGCCTGGCCGTGTGAATCATTCTGAAGTTAAAGTTTCTAATTGCCTGGAAATGAAACAAAAAGCTTCAAAGAGCACTAAGAAGGACAGAAATGTCGAGCGATGACCCTTAGGGTCTTTAACTTGTGTTTTCTTGTAACAAGAAGGAAGTAACTGCTACAAATATTTGTGTGTAAATATGTTTGCAAACGTGGAGATGTGCCTGTCGCTCATGTGACACGTCAGAACAGCTGGCCGAACCCGTTGAAAATTAAAACTTCTCTAGCGAGAGGAAGACAAAAACAATCTTCATTTGGACATTCCGCGCTATCCAGCGGGTAGTTCATTCCTGATAGCATCGGAAAGTTTCAAATCGGAGTCAGGGTTTGTGAGATTTAACTTGTCTGTATTTGAACGAAGTTGTTAACTCTCCACGTTGCCTGCTTTATTGGCTTTCTCGTATCTAATTCAACTTCTCAAGCTTTTTGAAAGCTTGATTCTGGGTCGAGTAATATGTTCAGGAAATGCATAGCATGTTTTGATTCTAGCTATCTCTCTCTTTTTATACGCAGGAAAGAGAAAACCACAATGGATGTGCCAGAGAAAGGTGCGAATTTTGAGGCTCATGATTATTATCCGCGTTTATCTCTTTAAAGGTTCAGTTCTACTATAGATACGGAATCATTACCGGAGCAGTAAATTTACAGCTCTTGATTCATCTGAAAAACAACTAAAAAAAATTACCGCATGCGGGACTAACGGAAGCAATTTTAAAAGCCGCTTGAGGATTCATCTATTTCAAGATAGTTTTCCCATGATGTTGGCTCTTTCTTTGCACATCATAATTACAAATTGATCAAATGTTATTGTTGGAGATATAGTAACAATACTACTGGCACCTTTAATCTTAAATTCATTCTCAAAACAGTAAAGATCTATTTCTGACTCGAGGGGCGATCAAAGTACGGAAGAGTATTTTTGTTTTGTTTTATCGTACAAAATATAGTTATTTGGTTATTTCAAGGAGCGGACGATGTTTTTTCCTAACA